GGTATCCTGCAAAGTAACCTACTTTGGGTTTGAAGTGATCATTTATCCGCGTGGCTAGGAGGAGCCACTGGCATTGCAGCAATTTGGCTGTGCTCAGAAAGGGATGGAAAAAAAATCTCGAGGTCTGCATAGACAAGAAGGAGTTAATGCTTGTCGAGCATTATTCTTATACAAATTAAGTCCTGAGCACAGCAGCAGCCTCACCAGCAGGAGCAGATGCTAGGCAGTGATGCAACCTGTGTTATTTACTTAGGCCTCTGTAGTGACCTTAGTGGCTTACAGACAAAGGATACACATATCTGGAGGTAGGTAGTGTGCTGATACCTTCTTTATTCAGTCCTTTTTCTTTTATTGCAAACAAGATCCTGTAATCATCTTGCGTGGAGCAACAGGAGAACTGTGTATTTTTAGCATGGTTTCAGAAGGAGGAAAGAAAAGCCCCCAAAGAACTGATTCAGATTTGCTTTCTGGTTTTGTACCAATATAACCAGGAACGTTTAGAAGCCATGATGCGTCGGTCCCTTGAACGCAGCCAGCAGCTGGAACAGAAGCAGAAGCGATGGTCGTGGGGAGGAGCACTGGCTGCAGGCTCAGGAGGGAGAGACGGTAAGTGAAACAGGCTGCCTGCATTGCAGATCTTGAAGTGCAAAATGCATGAGGTTGTGGAGATGGTAAGGATGATGCATTTTATAGTTAGGGTGGTACTGTAGGGGCTACTGCCTTGGGGCGTGAATAAATGCTTTGTAATTGCTTGCCAGGCTTCCTCTCTCTAATACCTTCTGGGGAGAAAGGTCACTCCGAACTTTAGGAATGCAGATCATTTTAATAGAGTAACCAGAATCTGTTTGGAGGATGCTAAATGCTAAAATTAAAATTTATGCTCTCTCTCCCTTATTCTCTTCCCCCGCATTGTCTTCCCACGCACACAGTTAGCAAATTTAATATTCACCAAAGGACTGAGTGCTGTCTAAGCCTTGCAAAAGATGATCTGCTTTTTGTTTGGTACTTCTAAAAACCTGATGGGAATTTCTAGATGACTATGCAGCGTGTGCAGTTTAAAATAGTTTGGTTTTTTTCCCCACATACTTTTTGTTGCTGCTCTTTTTGATTTGGCTTCAGAACAAATTCTTTTTGTTACATAATCAGTCATGTACTGCTTTTATATTTCAAAAAGATGCATGTTTTCTGTTTTAAATCATATAATTTATTTAAATTTGTCAGGCTTGAATAAACTGATGTTATGGGGAAAAATATCCATGTTTGGGTGATGATGAAATATGACGGTTACTCTCTTTTAAACAGTGTGTAAAAATACATAACTCTAAAAGGGCAAACCCTGTTTCGCATCATAGTTTTCACAGTATGCCATCCAAAAAAGCCAGGAAATTGAATATATATGATAATAAAAAGTCTTTTATACTTCGAGAAAGAAACCAGTTTGTCTTTGTGATGCAGTTTATGCTTAATTCCAGCTCCTCCAACTTATTCAGTAATTTCTTTCACCTCTTTGCTCTGATTTCTCTGCTGTGTAGGTGAATCAGAAAATACCCCACCCCCTGTTCTAGGTTTAGCTGCCAACACCCTTCCTCCAGACCCTGTGACCTCTACTGCTCCTGCTGATTCCTTCAATGGTATTTCAGAGAATCACAGTACCATCATGTCTCGTTTATAACTGTTCTAATCACTGTAATCCATCCACTGATCTTGTCCTTCCTAACCTTTTTCTTATTATTTCAGTCTGGTACTCTACGGCATTACCCTTAGCGATGTGGACCAAATGTCTTTTTAATTTCCTTTTAATTTTGCCATGGAGGAGCAGTGCATGCCTTGCATTCCAGCACAGTAGAGGCATTTCATGGTTTTCTCACTAACTGTAGACTTCTACTGCTCAGATTCTCATCTCTGTTAATTCTGTGGGTGCTCTGTGTTTGTGTGTGTGTGTAAATAAAATTACCCGTATATTTGACAGTTCTAATGGACAGGCACACGTGCAGGTGGTGTTGAAAAAATTTCAGTTGCACAGTAAGAGAAAATGTGTAATGTTTCATCAAAACAGTCCTCTTTTTCCATCTCAAGGGCCTTTTTCTGCAATATTTCACAAAGAAGCAAATTTGGTATAAACAGCCAATGCTGTATTTTCAGCCTCCTGAAGTGGATTTTGGCCAAGCTGCCATTTGTAACAAACTCAAGTAGTTGATGTTGTTTAGGCAATCGCATTTTGTTTTCTTTTGTTTTGTTCAGTTATCTTTTTAAATTATTATTATAAAAGGACTTTATTCTTTTATTATAAAAGGACTTTTTTATTATAAAGGGACTGTGAAGTAGATGAGTGCTCCAAAATTAAGAATGGATTGCATACAGGGTTTCTAATTTTGATTGCAGATGTACTTGGCATTTTGAAGACGTAATGAAGCCTGTGCTTTTAAGAACTAGGTTCCTTCTCTCCCCCCAAAGGAGGAGCTGGGCTTGAATATTACTCCCACAGAATGCACACTAAATGTCCTGGCCATGCTCTCACAGAACTATTATTTCTGTGCAAACAGATTCAAATTTTTGTACTAATTGCTGTTAATGTACAGAGAGATTTGGATGTGCAACTGATGTTTTGTAGCATACCAGCATGGTACCTGCTTTTTTAAAAACGCGAATGTAGAGAATTGTGTTGTTTACTGTAGTAGATGGAGGCAAATGTTGCAGACCCCACTGAGGCAACGTTTCGATGGATGTAATAGGGGATGCAGTAACTTAAGGGCTGTAGAATTAGGGCCGCATATAAGTCTTTAGCTGAAAGTATTTTTTGTTTTGAAAGAAAGAAAATTCAAATTTAAGGGACAAAGCATCTATACCTTTAGCTTCTGAGCATCATGCAGTGATCGTCATATAGTAGTACACTGTAGTAATATGTGAATAACATTTTTCTGTCATTCCGTTGAATAAATGGCAAGGTAGGAAATAGATATTTGTTCAAACAGACTTTGTCAAACAGTATTTTGGAAGAAATAACAGAAACAAAAAAGAAACTACTTGAGGTAGTACCAAGAAGCTTTTTTTTAAAAAAAAAAAAAGAAGAAAAAATAATTTTTCTAACACAAAAAGATAAAGCTAAATGGCTGGTGCCAGATCAGTCATTAAAACAGTTCTCATTGTGCAAATGCACAAATGTTGATTATTTCATTTTTGTATTAGAATAATACCTGAGCTCTACCCCAGCTCTTCCAGACTGAAAGTAGAGGGGAGGGGGAGTGGAGGGGAGGAGTTCAGAGTTGTCATATGTGCAGTTGTTCATTTTCTTTAGGTAACTTTCTGCTTGTGCTGGTATTGAATATCTTGTATGAGGATGGCTTCACTCATTCTGACCTGATATGTAATTATTTGCCTGTGGCAGTATAAAAGATAGGCTACTGTAAAACTGAAATGTTGAATTCACAAGCAGAAAAGTTGCATCCCAAATCATGTCTTATAAAATGCTGGTCCTCCAGCAGTTAGAAAGAACTTACCTCATGCCTTATTCAGTGCTATGATCAGTGGCAAGGGCCAGGAATACAAACATGAGGTTAATTTTGGGAGTTTATCAACACTGTGATGTGAATACAAATATCTTCAATGCGTCTCTCTGCAGCATGTGACAAACTTTCAGCTTCTACAATGAATCTGCCAAAGCAAATGGAATCGCCAATCAGTAAGCGCCTCTCCTCCTCCACAGCGGCAATAACGCATTCCCCCGACAGAGGCAAGTGAATATGCTGGTCTCCTACCAGCATAAACTCCTTCTGCTTAAAGCACTTCTTGTCCATATAGCTGTGTAACTCGCTTATGTCTATTCTTCAAAAGATCTCAAACATTTGAGGGGTTGTAAGTTAATACAATGAAATAGTTCTGCAGCCTGTCTGTCCCAAGACTCTGCTGCCATGCTGGAGAGCCTAGGCCAGCAACAAACGCTGTGGGGTTTTTTTACTGATTCTTTTTCAATTTTTGATACTCCAGCAAACAGGATTGTGAGCACATGCTGTGGCTGCAGCAATTTCCCTTAAGTGTACAGTTTGTGGTCTTCTAGCCAAATAATGAAAAACAAGCAAACCAAACATGTGGCTCGACAATAGACATGGGTTGTACCGTGGGCAGAAGTACATCCCATGAGCCACCTGGGAGACTTCAATCTGGTGACCAGAGTTGTAGAGCCCTTTAATTTGATTTGAAACCCTGATCCATCAGAGGCTCAGGAAAAGATGATCATCTTTCGGGATTAATGGTTACTAAACACTACAGAGAGGACTGAAGGGTTTATCCCACTGTGAACCCTTTGGATTTTTTCAGTTGGTTCTGTGTGTCTTTCTTCCTTTTTCCCCTCTTCTTTTAAACTCTAAGAAAAAAAAAAATTGACTGAAGTGACAACGAAGGCTTATTTCTAGAATGAAAAGAAGGTCAATCTACTTTCATTTCTGAATTGCTTAATGAAAACTCATCAATAGCTTTGAGGTTATTATGATAGATGGCTATATGTATATGCATGTAATAGGAACATCTATGAATATCGTATATAGTTGACGCTTATATTTATGGAGTACGAAGGAATGCAGGCATATTGTATAAATAAGACTTATATAATGCGATGAGACTGCAGATTTTAAATGCAGTCCCAGTATGGCTGGGACATTAGTGAGTAGCTGCGCTGTTATACCAAACGTTTCACCTATTCTACTGGGGGAAAAAGGCAAACCTTTTTCATGCTGAGTCATGAAAGCAACCATTTTGCAGAAGGGAATATGCCTCTGTGTAAGAACAAAATGCAGCACGGTCTTAACCTTACTATATTTATTGTATGTGTGGGAAAATAATTTAAAATGATGGAGAAACTAGAAACCTTTTTTCAGAGGTAATTAAAATTATCTTTAAATATTTTAAATCTCAAGAACTTCAGGATTTTTTTTTTCATTTAACTTAATCATTTCATCATTTTGTTTCAGTTATTTTAATGTAACATTGTTTTATTTCTTTGCATTTTAAATTTTACTTTATTTGCTCCCATCCTTCAGCTCACCGCATGCATCTTAGTCCAATGGAAAACTTTATTGTTTCTCGACTGCTGACTCCCACACAGTCATCTCTAGCCAGAAGCAGAAGTACATTAATGCTTTCTGAGCAGTACAGTAATCCAGGTAAAAATGTGAATTGCTCACTTTGAAACCGTTAAGGTATGGTTTTGGTTGCATTTGAGTAGTTGCTGAAAGAAACGGAGTATTATGAACCAAATGACAATTTACATGATAGTACAAAATCAACGATGAACTAAGTTGTTCATGATAGCAGTGTATTTAAAGGCTTGAAAAAACACATCATCTTGTCTGTCTTGTTCTGGATGTCTTTTTAAAAAGAACATAGCTTTAAAAAAAACAAAAAATTGAATCAACAAAATCACTAAAACCTAAGCCAATGGAAAACTGAATATATTCATTTAAGAACTAGGTTTTTGGACCAGTGTGTGACACCTCTCAGCGGCTTTGTTTGATATATTGTCATCCCCTTTCATACCCAAATAGTATGTAGGACAAAAATCCCAGTGCACCATTTGAGCCTTAATTATTTTTACTAGGGTTCCAGTTCTTTGCTGTTAAATTACTTCTTGCCTTTAACTGAGTGACTACACGTGTATTTTGATATATATATGTGTGTGTACAGATATAAAATGATACTTAGACAGAGCCACTGACAGGAAGGTCTCAGTTCCAGAAATTATTGATCTTCAAGAAACTAAAAATTAGGGTTGATAGTTACTGTTCCTATCTGTAAATGGCAGTCTAATAAAACCCTTATTTTGCAAGCATCTACAAAACTAATGTTTCCAGTCCTGCTAATACTTAGGCATGCCTGACTTCCAGAGTAGTTCCTACTTATAAAGCTATACCTGGTCATAGCGTTTGCTGAAACAAGGACGAAAGTTTAACAGCTGTTTTTACTTTTATTAAAAACAAAAAACCCCCCACCCCAAACCCCACACCCAAATGCCTGTCTACAAAAGGAAGCGTATTATCAGGATAAAACTAGTTAGACGGTAAAAGACTGATCATGTTTATGATCAGTATTTTCGTACACCGTGGTTGAAATAGGCTCAGGTCCTGCATCTGTGCTTTTAATACAAAGCTATTTAAAAATGAATTGCAAACTAAGCCTACTTTCCTTTGTGCGTTACTACTTTGTTACAGTGCATAGGGACATTGATATTGAATGGCTCTAAAATTGCTTCCTTGTTTCTACATTAAAAGCAGCATCTGTTGGAAGCAGAAATGTTGTCATATAGTACTTGGCCCATGAGAAAATTCCCAGTTTACTTACTGTCCAGGGATCAACTACTGCTAAGACTGAACAAAAGCCAACTCGAGATTAGATGAGTATATTCTCCTTAAAATTTTGAGGTGAATTGCTGGGGCCACCTACAGATGTTGTTTTCCATGCTGTATTTGATATTGGAGAAATCAGTAGGGACTTTCTTTGCCCTTCCCCACCCGTTTTGTTTGTAAACTCCCAGCTTTATCTCTCCACCGCAGGATCTTTAAAGTAGCACGCTGGCACGTCTGACAAGGATACAATTTGGCCTGCAAACTGCTTTTTCCTTGAGCTGAAACAGGATTGCTGATTCTGGGAACGGTTCTCTGAACCAGCGTCCTCTTGTCACTTCCTCACAAGGCAGTCAGGCTGTAGCACAGGTTGCAAACGGCACCAATAGTCAGAGTGGCCGTTGACGGTTTTGTCAGTAGTTTTGCTAGCAAAAGGGTTGAGGGAGATCTCCCATTTGTCATGTATTTTTCTCCGTAGAAGTAGCCTCCTGAACAAGAAAGAGGGTTCTTCCTTTTGAGGAGCTCATACTGTGCCTCATGTCATTATATTTGGGTCAAAATTCCTCTGCTCCTGCATTTTCTGTAAGCTTAGAAATGAGGAGTCTCAATTTAAGACTCTTTCTCTAGGGCAATGCATTATTAATGTCACCCTGAGTCAAGACATTCAGGCAAACAGTTGTTATTGGACACTTATAATTAAATTTTTTTTTACAGTTGAAGTAAAAATACTTATCTTAAGCAGCATTTAAGTTTCTGAACATTTTTCTTAATATTCAGTGAACTTTTGCCAACTTGCTGGAAAGCCAGTCAAAGAATACACAGGACCAGTTAAACTTACAAGCATACAAAAAGGCTTCATAAGAAATTTTATAGGAAAGCCCCCAATAAAAAAAGTACTGGAAATGTGAATTCCTTCACATTTGAGCGTAATTACTGCTTTTCCAAAGCCAATATCCTTCTTGACTTCAGTCAAATAAGATTGGAAACACGCTGTCACATGGATGGCTACAATTAGTGTCTGTCTTACTAATAAAGCATATACTCTGTTGATTGTTCTATATGTATGTGAAAGTTTCATCTTAGAAGGCAACGTGAACAAAAATGGGAGTAAAATATCCCATTTTAAAAAAAACCTGTTCATATTGCAAATAAAGAAAAAAACACCCAGAAGGAGTTGCCCTGTAAGCTGTAATGCATGTGTTGCACCCAAATTGATGTCTACCACAAGTAACAATAACTGAAATACCTACAGCACCATTTAGTTTAGGTTTGTTTTGGGGGGCTTTTGGTTGTTTTTTTTTTTTTTTTAATTTAAGAGTAATATTTTGAAAAGCAATTAAGGTATTTAGGAGCCTTTGCCATGTTTAGGCTTTAAAAAAAAAAAAATTCCCTACTCTTCTGTCACCTTTCCTGTTTTGCAGTATTTGTTCAAAAGTCACCCAGCTAGAATTGTTTGATTACTCTTTTTATCATATGCAAAGGAAGCGGGACTTTTCAGAAGGAAAAAGAATCATGGTCGTAGTCAGGTGATTCAAAAGGTATATGAGTAAGAGAGCAATATTTTAGACATGATATTAAAAAAATAAGACCTATAAAAATGTTACTTTCAGTTGAGGCATTTTTAGTAAACGTGGGACCATGCTGAATGTGTATATAATGACATCTTTTGAAGCACTTTTAAAAAAACCTTGAAAACTACCTTTGAACATCATAACATAAAAGTATGCTGTTTTCTCCTCTCCTTTACTTTCTCTGTCTGTGCTCCCTTTTGCTCTTGCTATTGTACTATAACTCTTTAGTATTCCATATCTGTCCTCGTGTAGCACCAGCTAGTCCTCTTAAATCTCCCTACAAGCCTTCCCCCACCCGAAGCACCGACAGAAAGAAGGCAACTTCACCCTCCACTTCCGATGCCATGAAAGGGGCGGCTGCAGCTGAAGTTACTCAGGTGGGTTTGCAATGGTTTTGATTTCACTTCTGGGTAAACTGATGCGGCTTCTCGTTGTTGTCTTTCCCTTTACATTCATAAAAATAATGTTTCTGTTGTAAGAAACAGCAGTAAGAAAGTAAGCCTTGCATGCATCTGTTGCTTTCCTGCTCCTGTTTAGCAGCATTTTAGTATCTTCCTCCTCCTGGGAATCAGTGTTGAGCACTGGTGTTTGGAACAGCAACACCTTTATTTTCAGGGAACTGAAATTTCTGGCACTGGTGTATGTTTCTGGACTTGCCTGTAACTTCTGGGAATGGGGATGACAAACAGGGATCTCTCTACTGAGTATGACTATCCAGTCTTGCTGGTTAATTAGCAAGCTTCACGTATTTTGGAAACTTGCCAAGTATATTGACAATGCCTCTGTTTTATACCAATTGCTTAACTCTTTCTGTGGACATTTTTAATGCTGTTTGCTTAAAAGGTGCATTATTGACCCACTGTAGTTTCCAGAAAAGCAAAGGCAAGTCATTCACCTTCACTGAGTCTACACAATATAAGGCATGTTTTAAAAAATTTATGCTAGGGCTGTAAAATTCACGTAAGGTGCTGTGTCTGGTAATAGTTAATAGTAGGGGGATTCATGCCATCTAAATTAGATGCAAGTGAGAGGACCAAAGCTGGGAGCTAAAGATTTGTGTAGTGTCTTTCTTAGGTATGATTCACAGTGTTAGATCCAGCAGCATCGCTGTGAGATGCCTGGGTGCACTACTGACCGTGTCTTAAGAGGCATTGCAGGAGCATACAGATGATTTTGAAAACTCCATCCAGTGCCACCGCCCCTCCCAAGAACTCTTGGAGAGGCTCTGCTGTGGTGTTACTTATCTGCAACTTGTAAGCTATGTCCATGCAAGACATGGTTGGGGTTTTTTATGTCTATGTAAAATAAAAAAACTATGCACCTCAGTTGTGAGCTGGTGTTTAAAAACCTTTTATCTTAAATATGTTACACAAATCTGTTTTATGCCATCTTGTTAATAAAACTATCGAATACATTTTTGATGTGTTGGTCCTAATTATGGAAACTAAAATAAACTGTGTTTCTAGACTGAGAAGATAAAGAAAGAGAAGCGACCCGCAACACCTGGTTCATCATCTGCTATGGGATCTCCTCTAAGAAGGTCTGATTCTCCTGCTGCCATGTCCAGAAGATCTGCATCACCTGCGACGCCTAAGTATGCCTTTCTTATTAGTGGTCTAATATGCTGTGAGCCTCTTGTTACCTATAAAGGAGGCATAGATTCTTGAGGAACTTCCTTTGAAGAGTTGTGTAAAATGTAGTTAATTTTAGTTATACGTACACACATATACAGATGGAGAGAGAGAGGGATGTAGATGAACAGATATAATATATGTAAAATTGTGTTAGTGGTCACTAGAAACACTTCTCTGCCTTTTCTCAGTCTTCTGAAATTATCACGGTGCATTTCATAATTCATGTGAAATTTTATTTAACATTTCTTTTTAAACATGCTTTTGTTTTATTTGGTTTTGAGAAAACTGCCTAATGTGAAGAAATGCACAGAACATGAGTACTAACTAGAAGTTCCAGCATTTAATATGCATTTCCTATTGCTGGCATGACCATCTGGTTCCGTAAATATACTTAACTGTGCGTCATCTAAACCATCGGTTTTAATCTTTGCTTATTTGCAGACCTCTGTGGGTTTGTTGCTTTTTGTTGTTGGGCTTTTTTTCATGCAGATTTGTGGTCCTACAGCATATCTGGGCTTACTAGCAATTGAGTTGCTTTTCTTAGTTGTCTTTTGCAGACACTCAAAACTGTAGTCTGTGTACCACAGCTTGCAACTCACTAAGCAACCGTGTCTTCAGCTTTCTTAGAAGAGGATATTAAGTCTGGCTCAAAAGGAGAAGTATGCTGAAGTAGTCATGGTCTACAGTAGTTGTCTGATTTTTTTTTTAAATTTATTTTTGTGGGTTTTTTTTTCCCCTAGACCCTGTTCATGGGTCCCACTTCTGTCTTGAAAGTTATCTCCTTTTGTCTGATTTTATTTATTTTTATTTTTTTTTTAATCTGAACCTGGCCACATTCTGAACCAGTCTGGTGATCTCCTTTCTGACAAATTTCTTCTGCTTCAAAAACTAGCTGGTGTTCCTTTTCTGTTTCAGTTCTGAGTGCATAGCCCTTTAGCGGAGGATGATTTTGTGTGTGAATCTGGCGTTAGACAAAATACAGGAAACTATCTGACTCTGGGCATTCTTTCTGTTTTAGACATCCCCTTGCATGCAACTGAGAAGTTGGGATTCTTGATTCGTATTATAGGGCTACAAATTCTCAAACCTTCAATATTATATATATAATGTCAGATTCTGAACTACGTAAATTTTGTGAAGAATGGAATGATATGAAATGTTAATGACAATCAGCTTTTTTCGTTATAATTTTGAGCAGATCACTGACTAGTGGCACTCCAAAATGTACAGAGGAAAGTTTGAGCTATAAAAATGTATATTATTCTGTAAGTATTGATATTCCCTGTTCAGAATGCGTCTTTCAGTTTACTCAGCCAGTATAAAAGACATACCAAGAGCTATATTTAGTTAAGCAAAATGATTGGTGGGAAATGGATTGCTGAGAGTGAAGCACTTCTTGATGGACAGAGATTGCAAAGGTTGGTATAGCTCATCATAGAGACATCGGGGGGGAGATTTTCATGAAACAAACAGACATTTAGTGCTTCATGAAAAAAGTATGCCCTGTCTTAATTTGTAGCACTAATTTCCGTAAAAGGTTAGGCAAAGATGGAGACTTTTTTCCCAGAGGTGCGAGTTATGAGAACCTTTTTACAGTAAAATGCTTTCATGCCTGTAAGGAATGTAAACTACTGTTTTTAGGGGAAGAAGCAGATGATGTAGGGAGGAATTAAGAAGCCTACTGGTGGGTTTCTCTGTGATTGTGAGCCACAGTAGTTATCCTCTTTTTTTTTTCTTTTTTCCTCCCTCGCTTCCTCAAGAGAATCTGATTCTGACTACTGCTAGAAATGTATTACTGAGCATTTAATCTTAACATGGCCCAAGTAGAACACCCTCCTTGACCTTACGAGAGATACAGTAAACAGAGTTTAAATCCATGTTTATTACTGACTGCAGAAAGACAGTTCTGCTTCAACACTCTCGAAACTTCCCCTCAGAAATTTAAAATAAAATAAAAAAGGTGTCCTGATCACCATATTATATTATTATATGAAGATATGCATTTCTTCATACAACTCAAATGCCAGATAACGATCTGGCTGGTCAGTGGATTCAAATATAGGTAGTCAGGCTTTTGGAACCTTCCTTTAGATTGTATAATCTTACCTTTTCATTTAAAATTAACTGTGGAACTTAAGTATAATTTTAACGTGACTAAATATGTAGACATATACTCATTCTCCTTGCAAACCTGACAATCTTTTACAAGTTTAATCTTTCTCCTTCCAGCACACCATATGGCCAAAAGAATACCCTGGAAGAAATAAGAATACGTATTGTACAGCATTAGTAGTTAGTGATCCTGCACAGCACCTTAACTTTGAAAGCTGTTGAGGAAAGAATCAAGTATGGCCAGTGATTTAGGTGATAATTAGCTGTATGCATTTTTCTTCTTAAAAGTATGTGACTTGACATTCAAGTTTTCTTGGTATGTACTAGTTATAGTCCTTCACAGTCATCATCTTGGTTTGTGAGTGGTAGTTGCTTGTTGTCTTTGTATGTTATTTCATTATTTACTAATTATTATCATGGTAAAGTAACTGAAACAGGCTCAAACAAGACAATAAAACTTCAACGTAAAGAGAGACAGTGATTGATGGCGGAATAGGTTTGCAGTAATTACATAAATAAAATACAAATGTTTGAAGGTACAAATTTTACTGAGAAAGTAAAAAATATCAGCCCAAAACATAATGTCCACGACAAAATGAGTGAACAAATATGGACCTGAAAAGGGGAAAAAAAAAATATGTTGAGCAATAATTAAAAGCAAGGAAGCCATTCAAAGCTTGAAGATATTTGAAAAACTAAATATATCAAGAAATGTCACACAAGAAAGAAACCTAAAACTATTGCTTTGAATCCAGTGTGGGTCAGTTGACAAAGATGAAAGTTAATGGATTAGAGAGCTGGGATAATTGAGAAATTATCTGTTATTTTTACAATTGCTATTGGATACTGATTGCGTAAAGTGCTCCTGTTCTTCAGATCTTTCACAAGATCAATAATACCAGTTTTTTTGGTAAATTTTTTTTTTATGCTTTGTCTTCAAAGACCTATACATTAATCAGTTTATTCTTGCGGTATCCCTCAGAGAATAGGTAAGCGTCCTATTTTATAGATTGGCAAAGCAATAAAGCCTGTGTCCTTCACACGTCTTTGGGTAAATAGTCCCTTTGAAATCAATGGGACCTGACTGAATCAAGGAAGTAGGATTTAGTTTTAAGTGTCTTCAGATAAGCCATAGTATAAGCCAGTGGATAAAAATGGAAAGCTCTGACAAGCCTCTATGTTACATTATTTTGCCAAAGCATTACCTCATGAGAAGGAGAAAGGGGCGGGGGGGGAAGGGAGAATGGACTGCAGCGCTGCTGGTGGGTGGTGGTTCTCGGTTCATTTCCAGTTGCCGGTCTGTGTCGCTGTCCTTTGCTCACAGTTTCACTAACTGAACCCCTAACTTGGTGGTTTTTTTGGGTGACGTTCCACTGCAGCCATTGGGACACACTTTGACGTCAGAAATGCGCATGCTCAGTCAAATTACAGAATACCAATGAAATACGAACCTAAAGTAGTACAAAAATCCCAAACTTTTAAAGTTTTAAAAATGACCCACTAGAAAGGTGCCTGCATGTGGTGAATTCCTCACAGAAGTAGCTTCTATGTCCTGCAGTGACCTAGTTTTAGATTTTATTTGATATGTGCTACATTTACTAGTTTTGATCTTTGTTTTGTCTTGGAAAGATAAAAACAATGGGTAGAATGCTGGATCAAGACTATTTTGAGTTTTTTTCAGCAGTTAGCTAGAGAATGGGCCAATTCAAGATTTTGAAAACATCTGTAATAATGCAGCTATCAGAATAACTTTTCTGTAGACCTATGCTGAGTTTGTGCTCTTTTAAGAAATGTAGAAGAGAAATGAATCTGTCTCTGGCTAGAATAGATCAAAACTAAGAGTGAAAGAAAACTGCTTTTGAGAAAATATCACAGCAGAGCAAAAATGTCAGAATCCAGGAATAGCTTGTGATCAGAGCAATCTCAGAGAGCAGGCTTGAGAACATGCAAGTCCTTGGTGTGGTTTCAGCAGAGCTTTTGTTGAATTAATAGGGAGATAGGGGAAAAAAATAATGCAGCTCTGGCATTGCTGCAGATTTCTGATTTAAAGTCAGCCTTCTGACCCGCTGTAACCGATGACCTGTCACGTACCTGACTTTGCAAGAAAGCATGCTGTTCTCTCCCTTGCTGTTTATGGACAAAAATGGGTGTGACCTGACTCATATGTGCTACATGCACTTTATTTTCTAAGCTTAGCAAAAGTAAGCTCAGAACCCCTCTTATGCTTTTCCTGAGACATTCTTCTGCAGTATGGGCTATCCCTCCTTTAATTAAATAAGAGCCACTGTAATTTAAGGACCAGTGGGTCCTCAGACCTGGTAGAGGTTCTTGCGGTGCATGTAGGGGCTCATGATGGGAATGGCTTCTTAGAAGCTGCTGCCCCCATGTCAACACAGGGTGGTTAGGTAAGAAAACTAAGACCTCCTGGAAGGGAGGAAGATGCTTCCTGTACTTCTGTATTCCCCTGTAAAATCTAGTGACTGAGATGAGCAAACTTTCAGACAACTAACATGCTACCACTTCTTAGATTTTGGGGAGTTGTCGCCTTAATTCTCTGATCCTCATCAGGCACACTTCTGCGTTCCCACATTCTTACCAGGGTTTCATTACATCCCTTTCCTTTTCTTCCAAGGCTAAAATAAAACACTTCTTAAACCTAAGCAGACCCCTACGCAAGCGTTTATACATTTTCCCTTAATAATCCCATTTTTCTATCTTCGCAGTCAAGTTTGGCCCTTTCTGGTATAAAGTAGCATAATTTAAATAGTATTAGAAGGAGTGGGCTTTTTCCAGTAACAATTCTGTCCGTGTCTAGGAATGTTAAAGATGCTAAGTTGACAATATCTTTTAAATGCAAGGGGGAAAACAGTGTTCATTTAATACTTTCTACTGGCATCCAATAAATGATTTAAACTTTCTGAAAAAGTATTCTTATTTCTGATGGGCTTTCTGTTTTTCACTCCTCGCACTACACTGTCGTCCTTGCAGTTATCAGTCTTTTATATGCTTCTCCCTTTTAGTTGCTTTAAAACAAGCAAAGCCATACTTGTTTCTTGTTTTTTCTGGCAGAACAGCCAGTAAGAAAAAATTTCTGTAGGTCTAAAAGTTCAAAGATTCATTACTTAAATAATAGATTCAGCACATGTTTCTAGTCCAACAAGTAAGTTGTGCAGCCTGTCTGCTCTAATTCCCATGCAGTGCAAGATACATGGCTGTCATGACTAGACTTCTTCCTACCAACCTTTTTAATTTGATTGTCATGTCTTTATTAGAGAACAATTACTTCTGTGCTAATACTGAAAATGACTCAGCCTTAGTTATGTGACTGTTTTGCTCCTCCTGTCACAACAAGTTAAATAAAAAGCATTGCAAGGAGTGTGTGGTAAAGTTGGAAATGTAAACCAAAGAAAGCAAGAAGGGACTATGCTTTGAAGAAGTGTCTGATAAGCAAGAAGCATCCTCTGTGCTGCAGAGAAGCATAAGAAAGGTTGTTTGCTTTTTCTTTACACGTTATATTTTTGAGGTGCAGTTGGAAATGACTGTAATGGTGAGGCACATATGAGATGTACATAAGTAGGTGGGGCCTTGAAATCTCTGCCTTTGTCTTTAGGAGGACCTGGGAATCCGTCTATATCCTAAAGAGAAAACTAAAGACAATGCTAAAACCAGACCTGGTCAATACCAACCAATCTCATTGGCTTCTCCCATTGCTGTTTTTTTACGAGACCTGGAAACAGACTTGCCTGTCCACGTCTTCCAAAGCCTGTTTCTGTCACGGAGCAGCAGGAGCAGGTTGCCCTACAAGGCAGGGTAAGCCAGGAGCCATGGGTGGCAGCAGGGCAGACAAGGACAGGGACCTCACCCACAGGACCCCATCCCACAAAAGACAAAAGAAGTGACCAGGGCAGGTCTGGCGATGGTGACCAGGATCAGCCAAGAGTCCAGTGATAGCCAGTAAAGGCCTTAATGAGGCAGGTCCAAGGACAAGCCAGGACATCAGGGCAGGGTCAGCAGGTTAGGAGGCTGGGTACCGGCGTGCCTACAGCTTAGTTCAGGCAAGGACCAAGGGTGAGGACCTGAGGTGACAGGGAGCTCTTGGGCCTGCGGGCAGAGGGTACCTGAGCTGAACTTCAAATTTAGCTGGGTGCTACTGTTCCACCAGCCCAAGGGCTTTTTGGAGTCTGTGATGGCTCTTCAGTGGGAGTAAGAGAGTACGGGTGGTGTGATGTTTTGCAGTCTTTTCCTCCCCACAAACTGGGCAGCTCTGAATGAGCTCCCTGTATTCTGGTGTCTCAACCTCTTTTACATGCAGCATAATATGTTAGAAAATAACCCTTTCTTCTCCTGAATTCTTGAATTGGGGAGGAGTTGAAAGACATTTAATTTTTGTCTCTCTGTAGTGCAAATGCTGTTCTGGTTATAATAGTCTCTGGCCACACAATACTGTAGCTGCACCTATACAAATCTTTCCACTCTAGTCCATTAATTTTCAGCCACTGTCCATGTTTTTCATGCTTGTGGTCTGCCAGAATGAGTGTATAGTCCAGAAAACATGTTGTAGTATATGAAACTCTATATCATGTAGATGAAAACAGTGGTGTGGGATAATACATTTCTATCATAATTGCATATCCATGAGGAAGGTTAAAACTACATGTGTAATGTTCACTTTAATGTAGCATTATTTCTTCTAATGGGACTCACATAAATCATTATTTTAAGATTGTAATCTCTTTAATTCCGTACCACTTAGTCACACAGCCCAGCCTTTCTTGATGTTACGAGTATTTAGTGCTAGTTACTGGCGTTATGGTGTTTGCGTGTGGTTTTATGTTTCCTTGTATTCTGTTCTCTTTAATGTGCACATATTTTCAGTGAATATCTAGTATCTTTTTTCCCTTCTGCTTTCCCAGAGATGACGTCAGGGTTATCATTTCACCTAAAGTATGCAACAGCCAAATGAGCCATCAGCTGCATTGCTGCTGTGCATTGCCATCACCACAAGTGCAGCCGTGTGAAAGGTTGCAGGGGCTGAGTTTTGAGCCTTGAATCTGTTGTGTTGGTGCTGATTAAAGCGCTAACTGAAACAGTGGAGCTGACTGTACAATGGTTTGGTCAGTTCTGTCTCTTTTTGTGGTGCCCAGCTTTACCTTGGTATACAGTAATATTTGGTGCTATTTTAAAAATCAGATACTGTTACAAAAAGACCGTGTTTGAGAAGGCTGTATTCCCATGAAAGCAGCACATTGCAACTCATGATAATTGCTGCAGAGAGAAAGCAGCCATAGCTTTGCTTTAAATGTTGAGATGGACTACTGAATACAGTAATGTTGACAAAGCTGTTATGAAATGGCCATATGAAAATCATTGGGTTTAGGTAGTACATGATGTCATATCTCTTTCCAACAACTTGGACAGTATTATTGGTCTTTTTAAATGAGAATTTTCTGTGATCATTTGCACTTGCATGGCAATTCACTGCATTTCAGCAGGGATAACTGCTGAAAACAACTGATATTACTATGTAGCCAGAGACAAGAAAGAATGATATACGTAAAGACAGAGCCTGATTCCAAGTTGCATAATGAATGGCCTGGCTTTGATTTTTGTTTTCCCTCATTAGGACAGTTGCAAAGACTTATCCTCAGTCTCCTAAAAACGCCAAACAATATCCAGCTTCTCCTGTGAAGCATCGTGCTACTTCTAATCTCAACCAGGAAACTCCTAAAAAGAAAGCAGACAAGGAGAAAGAAAATGTCAGTCATCAGAAATCCCCGGGAGCACGCACTGATGAGGCAGGCCAGGTGGCTTCTGAGAAGCATGTGCCTTCTGCAGGAAAAACTGAAAATAGCGAAGGTGAGTCTTACTGCAAGAATAAATTGCAAGGTATCGTGGGTCCGTGAGGCTTTTAAACAGTGATGAACTGTTCTTTTTATGAAGCTGCTCAGTCATGGATTTATGAGAATGTGTAAAGGTACATAGTAGAACCAGTAAATGTATAGTTTTCACCAGGGTTACCCATGTATGAAAAACACTTGTTAATGAGGATGTGAAAATGTTGAAATCCAGGGATGTCCTTACCTATCCCATACTCTATCTGCTGAAAATGCTGATGTATGCTTTTGAAAAGCAAAGATGTCATACCAGCGTGAACCAGGCCCATTTTAGCCTCTGTTTGAGTGTGGAAGTGCTGGGCGCTCTCAGTTCCCTGCCTAACTTTCCACCCATGGTCGTCTTCTCCCAGGGAAGATCACGGCAGGAACAACTGATGCAGAAGAAGCCTCAAAAATTCTAGCTGAAAAAAGACGACAGGCCCGCCTGCAAAAAGAACAAGAAGAAAGGGAGAGACAGGAAAGAGAAGAACGGGAGAGGTATCTCTGTTGATTTGTGAAAATTATTACCTAAAATTATTACCTAATAATTTAACCCCTATCACTGAAGATGCTTGAAACTGTGGTGGTTTTAGAATCAAGGCGGGAGCTTACATGTAAGTGTTAATTTCTTTCAATTTGGACCCGTAGTTCATTATTGTCTTTTGCTGTCTTTATGACTAGTGAAGTTAAAAAATAATAATTTGGCCTCTTTAAGAAGCCTGAAGAACCTTACTACTCATCCAAATACTTCAGGTATGTCCACACTGCAGTGGATACCTGAAGTATCTTATTTTGTAAAAAAATATTTGAGGCAGTTTTAAACGAGCTAGTTCACACAGAAGAAACAGTCTTGCGGTAGTAACGTATGCCTTAAATGGCAAGGCTTGTATCCTTCAACAAATTAACCTGAAGCTTATCTCCCTGCCCAGCTCTGTTGTAGGCAGTTAAGGGCTTTAAAAGCATGGGCATGATGAAGGTTGCTGTGTCTAAGCAGTGAAATTCTGGCTCTGTTCTGGGAGCAAGCTTTTAGGTCGTTCTCCCCATTGGATGCTGGTTGCGAGTGTCAACAAATCATGCCCTTCCTTCAAGCCCCTAATATTGAATCACTAACTCTGCATGTCTAAATTCAACTTTGTCTGTTCTTATTGAAAACATGGGGGGGGAGGGGAAATTTGGAAACATGTCCTGAATCCCTGATATGCGAGGATGAGAATGATCAGTTGTCAAAGCAGCCCTTGAATGTGGTGACAAAGGAGCATGATGTCCCTGAGTGGGCCAGGGAACAACACGGGTGGAGTTTAGGCCCACTCTAGTGTACCACTGTGTTTCGTGGACTTTGTTTGCTGCTACTTATCCAATCAGTTTATCTTTGGCTGAAACAAAGGAAGAAAGTACTTGCTTGTTTGTAGATACCAGCATTCTGGGTGTGAAGTACAGGAGAAGAGGGATGTTTTTATTATTGAAGTTCTAATTGAAATTAGAATGGAAATGTTCTCTTTTCTTTGACACTTTTTTTTTTTCAAGGGAAACTATAATTTCTAGGAAATACTTTAGGCAGTGAAAATAAGATTGGAATCAAAGTTTGATAGCAACCTGAATTCCGGGCATGTGCTCAACCTCTTTGCTGTATCTTGTCGTTTTTCATGAAACTGTGCGCTGATGCATATATTGTCAATTACTGCTGATTGCGTGCCATACATACAATAGGATTCATGTTAAACAAGATGAAACCTTTTCAACGTACTGTTATATTTTTGCAGGCTTGAAAGAGAAGAACAGAAAAGAAAGGTAGAAGAAGAAAGACTTCGTCTAGAGGAAGAAGCTCGTAAGAAGGAGGAGGAAAGAAAACGTGAAGAAGAAGCAGCTAGAAAAAAGGCAGAAGAGGAGGCCAGGAGAAGAGCTGAGGAAGAACAAATGCTAAAAGAAAAGCAAGAAAAAGAGCTCCAAGCCAAACTTGAGAAACAGGTACCATCTCAAACATGAATGTGAAACTTTATATACATATATATGTATACATATATTTATATATACATATAAATAAGTACTCTATAGTATCTGGTAATCTGCCTGAAATAAATAATGGCCCTATCATATTTTACACATTTTGATTAGAGGGAAGAAGCAGAAATCAAAGCCCGTGAGGCAGCTGAACAACTTCGTCTTGAAAGGGAACAAATCATGCAGCAAATTGAGCAAGAAAGGCTGGAGCGGAAGAAGGTAGATATTTGCATCTCATTTGAGAGAATTATCTCATTTCTTGTTTAAATACATAACCCAGGAAGTACACAATAGTATCTAGAAATAATAATCTGGAGGGATTACGGATTGATATTTATGCCTAACTTAGTATTTGCTACTTGCATGTTAGGGGAAAGCGGGCATCAAAATTTGTAACGAAGTGGAATTGCCTAAGGCAAACGACTTTCTACTAGGCACTGAACAAACATAGAATTAGCCTCTGCCCACAAAGTTAAATGCCCGAGACAAACAGGGAACGGCATGCCAAGGCAAACGTCGAATGCCGCCCAACCCAGGACATCACAGACTATTGGGGAACATGAGTGACTTTGTTTTAAAACTTACACAACAAAAGCTCCGTGTCATTAATTGAGAAAGTTAATGTGATTAACAAACAGGTTTTTTGCCACCTGGCTTGTCTCTGGTTGCATTACGCAGAGGCAGCAGGGCTGCCTGGCCATTACTGCACAAGGAAATGGCTGGAGCTGCATAACTTAGCTTTGTCTGCAGCTCTGTGGCAGGAAAAGAGAGAACAACTGCAGAGCTGCAGAATCTCTGCCTGGTTATAAAAGGTCGTCTTTCCATGTATGTTGTTCCAGTATGTTATTTTTTACTGTTCACCACTGAGCTGGAGGTGTGTTGCAGCTGCAGATTAGAGTACCAAACCAAAGTATCTTTAAATTCGAAATAGTTTCCTTTCACACACTAGTGCAAAGAGAGAAGGTTTGTTGGGAGGGTTTTTTTTAATGAACAAAGAGGAAAACAGAAGTATTTTAGGGTAATGCCCTACACATTTCCAGCAAGAATAACTTCAGGTATTTCATTTTACTCTTCCATTCCAAAAAGCTTAACTGTTTTTAAAGGAACTATTTGGAAATAGTTGGAAAAGCAACTAGATGAAAACAATGGCTGTTGGTTTTAAATAAATGTCTTGTTCCAGAGCTGAGCACAATTCATAACTGCAAACACCTGGTATTAAAACGTTTGTCTCTAAATTGTATCTACTGAGAAAGTCATGTTCTGTGAGACTGATATGTGAAAGCCAGCTCCCAGGTGTTTTCTATCTTTTGTTTTCTTTATGTTTCTTATTTATTCTCCCTTTTTCAGGACAGGCAGGGTCATGACTAGAGAAGTTTTTCTTTTTGTCTTTTTTCTCCTTTAGCAGTCTCTTTTGTTAAATATCCTGTCTGCCTTCTCATCCTCCCATTTATTTTGATTTCTAGAGAATAGATGAAATAATGAAGAGAACAAGGAGGAGTGAAACACCAGAAATAAAGGTATGAAACAGTGTGTGGTTGCAGGGGGCGTTTGTTTTGTTTTATAACACATATGTGAAAATTAAACTCTAGAGTAGTTCCATGTTAGTAGGTATACTTAGATACGCTCTATACCTAAATTGTAGTTGCATTTTGAATTGAGAATGACTGTTGCTGTGTCAGTTATCGTGTGCTGCTGCTACAGAGACAGTTTTACACAACTGTTGCAGACTTACCTCCCTCACTATCTAGCAAGGTGGCAAGAGCCTGTTCCTGGATGCTGGAGCTGTAATGTTTGCTGCTGTGATGTATCTTCTCCTGCTTTGTACCAGCCAGTGAAGTAGTTACTGAGCTGTCCGTGTTGAGCCTGCCAGGAATGTAGGATTGAGAATAAGGCAGTTGTGTCCAGCTAGGAAGTGACAGAGTGTCAAGTTTTCACTTCTATTCTAAGTTTTCTACTAAGGAAACTGTTTCTTCAGTTGCTTTCAGAGAATGTTTTCTTTTTGAAGTAAAAAAAAAAACAAAAAAAATCCTATACCTGATTAAAAAGGGGGGGGGGCGGAATCCTCTCTTGCTGTCGATGACCTTTGACCACCTGGTGGCCCTGGGCAGTCTCTCAAGTTTCTAGTCCAATCAGTTCCATGAAGGTTACAGTCCTTTGTCTAATACAGTTGACTCATTACTTGGTTACAGAAGGAAGAGCCAAAACTGGAGGTACCATCAACTTTGAATGTGGAAAAGCAACCAAAGGCCCTTATTCTCAACCAGCCGGGTAAAAATCGCCTTATTTTTTCTGACCTGTTTCCACAGTTAGTTCTTTTCAGAGTTTTGTAATCTCAGACAGGGCACTGTGTATTATCACAGGTTCCTTGCTTTCATCTCTACAGCTACATTTGCGTCAGTGACAAATGTAAGAAATTGGAGACTCAGCTTTGTTTTGCCACGCAAGCAGAAGCAGAAGAAAGTTCCTCCTCCATTTTTAGTACCTGACATAGTATTTCTGTAAATGAGAAGTTCCAGTCTGCCAGTAGGTTTGGTTGCTGCAATCTACCTTCAAATTTTGTAGGTAGAAAATTTTTGCACACAACCAAGCTTGCAAGCTTTTTATAGCATCGCTCCAAATCTTAATTTAATTTTATTGCATTGCTCCAAATCTTAATTTAATTTGACTTGATGAAAAAAGCACGTGTTTAAAGAATTATTAAAGAAAATATACATATCTGGCATTTATCTATATTTTGTTTACTTCCCCAGGCTAAGGCTTTTAGTATGTGACATAAAAGATACCACCTTCCCTTCCTGTTTCCTCAATCTCAAAAGATGGAGCATAAAGAGCAATTTTAGAGTGAAAAAGAGGATTGACAGTATAGTATGATGAGTTGTAAATGAAACTGAGTCCTACTGTGTTGTCAGTCTTCCTTTCTACTTGATCTATAACTTAAAAGCATTTGTGATTCTTTTAAAACTATTTAAAGAAAGAAGTTGCTACTGGCATAATTTCTAACCTTCTTTTGTAGAGATCAATGGATTGGCAACCTGCCTGAAAAATAAAAGCTTAGAAAGTGCTGCCTCTGTAATCCCTTCCCAAGATGTAGTTGCTAATGGACTGAAGTCAGTTCCAGGACTTATTCAGCTGGAAGCTGTTGATGGGAAATCCAACAGCATGGAAGATTCAACAGATGAGGTTCAGTCCATGGATGTGAGGTACAGACTGTATCTACCGATAGAAATTGTGGAGTTCATATTAGACACGCAATAAGTTTTCTGTTTCACTTGTTAATACTTCGCTGCTTTACTTCTCACCTACCCCGCAACGTGGCAATCAGGTGTCTACTGTGGTGCACTCCACTCCTGTCAAGATGCAGATTGGTTGTTTCAGACAAGAGTCAACAGAACCTCATCTCACTCTCACGTATTTGGCGGGGGGGGGGAGGGCTCTGAAATCCTTCTACAGTCCTTACTTACGGATTCCATACAAGTTTGCCCAAACCTTTCAGATTGTTCTGTGAAAGTAGCTACTACAAGATATTGTCAGATGTCACCATTTTTTTTATTTGTGTCAAGACTGCGTAGCTATGATGTGTGAGCTTTTCTCCTTCCATACAAACAGAATAAAGAAAATAATTAATTTAGAATTTGCAGTACTTAACTGGAACAAATGTATGGAAATCAGTAAATAACTTCATGTGTATTCAATACTGTTGGAATTTGGTGGAAGGACTTGCAGGAAAGAAGGAAGTTGATAATTTAAGGCTGCTATGAGAAAGCTAGCTCTGAATTTTAAACATGGAATTTTTATACGGTGCTTCCTTAATCAGCAAGCCAACTTAACCTCTCATACCGTTTCAGTGTTTCCAGTAAATCTGCATAAATATGTAAGAAATGCCCTACTGGGACAGACCAGAAGTCCATCTAGCCCATTACTTGGTCTCAGAGAGGATCAGTAAGACAAACTAGTTAGGGAGAGCACCTGAGCCCACCACTTTCTGCAATCCGAGACCACGCAGAAGTGTTACATTAGGGACGTTAGAGGGTACAACTCTGCCTTGCCCTTTGAAATACCCACCGATGGGCCTGTTGCCCATGAGTTTATCCAACTCCTTTTTCAACCTGCTGATAATGTTGGCATCCAGGACCTCATCTGGCAGGAAGCTCCGCAGTACAGTCCTACTAGGTAAATTATATTCTTTGATCTGTGTTAAACCCAGTCTCTTACTAGTGTCATTGGGCACCCCCTAGGTTTTGTGTTGCAGCATCTGATGCGCAATAGTTTTGCCCTCAACTTAGCCACCACTCCTTCATGGTTTTAGAAATCTTTGCGAAATCCTTCCTCTGCCTTCTCTTCTCCAAACTGAAATGCACTAGCCTTACTAGTCTTGGCAAAGCGTCGGCTGGTAGCAGCACTTCTTAAATTAAATTCTAGGATATTTAATGTCTGAAGTGTATCATAAGGTCGTAAGAAATAACTTTTAAGTTGCGAAGTGTGAGTGCTTTAGGTAAATGTTTGCAGGGTCAGGACAATAATTTGCAAGATGCAATAAACATTTAAGTAAGGGAATGGTGCAGGGACTGAAATAATGAGTTTGCAGTAAACTACCAGAAATGTGTTTTTAGGAGGTGAGTGTTCACATCACACAGCTACCACAAACCTTCATCTTTAAGTAACATAGATTAAGTATGACCTTCCATCCTGAACAGGGTAACCTGTTTTTGTTTGGATGGGGACATATTCTACGTAGAGGCTTGCTGCAGCTGGCCTTAAGATAAGTAGTAGTTTTTGGACAGTCAGAAGATTAGTTTGGTTGTTGCTAAATGAAAAGTTACACACCTCTTATTCTGCATCTTCCTTTTGTTTATCTTTTGTATAGCCCGGTTTCAAAAGAAGAACTTATCTCTATCCCTGAATATTCACCCATGAATGAACTCATGCCTGGTGTTTCTTTGGACCAAAATGGGACAAGTAATGCCAAGGCTCTTGAAGATCTCTTGGATTTCACGGGCCAAGCTACGTACTCCAAGATGTCCAGTGATACCATTAGCCTAGATGACTGTAACAAAAACTTGATTGAGGGATTTAACAGTCCGGGACAGGAAAATACACTTAATTCTATCTGTTGACAGCCTCGCTTTTCAGCAGAACAGATAAAGGTACAGTATTGTGATAAACATACTAGATATGATAAATTGCTGTGATTACTTACGAGCTTCCCAGAAAAATATAGCAGTTGCAAACAGCATATGTGGAGAGACGAAGAAAGCTGGTGTTTCCAGATATTTAAATTCAGCATAATCTTTCATATTTGCAGCTCTTTGTAAATTGGCATCATATGCAAACTGAGCGTATCATAGCAACCGAAAGTATCCAGTAAATGGAAGCATTTCCTTTATCCAGAATATATCAGAATATAGTGAGAAGAGTTGCTTTTTTTCCCTTCATTACTACAATACCTTTCCTATAAGTCTTGAGAGCCTATTTGCATGAAGAAAACAGTTAAAAGTGGGGCCAGCCTGGAAAATGGTAGTTATTGTTGCCGCTTACTCTTTTCTGCTGCTGTAAGTACTTGCAGCACGGTGTAGAATCACTTATCCTGGAAAGCCAGCAAGCAATATGAAAAAAGCATAGTAGGCTTCAGTGACAGTTTCGAAGTACAATGCCACAACCAATTGTTTTGAAAGAGCATACTCTAAATTACCAAACTGAGGTCATCTAACTTGCATAGCTGACTTGATATTCTTCTCTCTCTTTTTTTAATTGACAGAGGTAGCAATTTGTGGAGGATATATATCCCTGTGATGCTACTGGCAGTAAGATATGAGCTTGTCACTTGAAAAAGCTTCTGCAGTCCTTGAACACTGGATTTCAAATAATCAGAGCTGAATATAACTTTGTCTTCCCAGGGAATGTGTTGAATAACTGGCTGCTTTTGGTAGAAACCAATGAACTAGAGCCTGGATGGTTTCAGGGAAGACTGAGTGTGCGTTAGAATTTGAGCTTTAGCTGCTAATAAAGCACTTATTTCTTCTCTTAATTTAAAATTCATCTCAACACTTCACTGTGATTTTTACCTGTGCATTTTATTTTGAAATAATTCTTCCTTAAGCTTTGTCATACATCCGCTTAAACATCTTTTTCTTGTAAATAATGATGAGGTTTGCCCACGGTGCATTGAAATGAAATAATATACTGTACTTCAGTTTTGTGCCTATCTTTTTTTTTTTCTTTAATAAGGAGTAACTGGCAACTTTTATGCAGGTGTATAATTCAAAAGTGTAGCTGAAGAGGCTTGAAAAATATACAACTGCTGGAATCAAAAGAGCCTTCCTACTGACTGTGGAGTGTGGGAGCTATCCCCTTATGGTTATGTTGACACTTTTAGTCACTAGTGGCACTTACTGGTTAATATTAATTAGTCTGGGAGCGACTATCAACTATGTGTTTAAAGCATACTTGTGTAACACCTGTAAACAAAGTAGACAAAATGCCTGGTGTAATCCCTTAATATATATATAGTGTAGCTGTAGTAGATCCAAGTGAGAGGTCAGGGGGGTGAGATAACATGTTAATCTTTTGAAGATGCAGGCACTTGATTAATACCAGCAGGCTTTCTATCGTGTGGAGAAGTATTCTGTCTTTCTGTAGGCTCAACAAAACAAGATTTAGTCAGCAGCGAAACAATATGTGAATGTTGCAGCAGAAATGCAAAGGCTGAGACACTCCCAGGGAACACTGCTAGCCCCCTTAACGTTCTGTAAGCATCTGTATGGAAGAATTCACATCAAGATGCGTAAAGTCTAGCCATTATGTGCCATACAGTGTGAACTTTATTTCTGTGGGTGAACTACGACAACTTTACACTAGATCACGTGCTGCTTTGAGGACGCTTTTGTCCAGTTCCTTATAAGAATAAACTATAAATACGACCCTCTTTGGACACTTAACACGAAAGAAGTGAAAACTTGGGGGGGAGGGTGTGTTTGCTTTTCTGTTTGGGTTTTTTTCACATGTTAAGGGAGTTCACAGCATAGCTTGAGCTCAGTTGTAGCCCCGTTCTTGTGCTCTTTAAAGCCAGCAACGGGAAAGTAACCAATGACGTTATGTGCGATGTATGAAGAAATCATACCTACAACAATCCAGCTCTGTTTATGTTAGTGTACTTCAGAGAAATACTTTCTTTTGACTGTGCAGTAAGCTGTAGCATGGTACTGTGTCTTCCAAATTAGTCCTTCATTTATTTCCTAAATAATAAACAAAACCAGTTTGTTTTGCTGTGATACATTGTGTTTGACAAATGTCACATTATATTTTATTATGGTGTCATTGTATAACCTGTAGATTTCTGTATTTGCATGACCTGTATAGCATGTATAAAGGTGAAATACATTTTCATTTATGAATCTAACTTGCTTCTTAGCTTTTTTTACTCCCAGCACAAATATGACCAATTTAAAAATACACGTATGTTAATTTGTTCTGATGTTTTCTGAAGGAGGGTGTAATACTGACCAAAGGAGCGGTGGTCGGCGCCTCAGAATATTTCACCGTTGTTTCCTTTGCCATACACTAACTTGCTTTCTGAGGTCTTGCCAATACACAGAGGAAATGCAGACTGGTGGCAGAAGAGCCTTAAGGTGAGGGCTTCCGAACTGTGGCATCCAGGGTGCTAGTGACAGTATACAAGCCAGTTTGCAGCCACAGCTTCTGCTCTCTGGGGTATTACTTGGCAAAAAAAACAAGGAAAAGAAAACTTGGGAGCCGTGGCCGGTAGACACTGTTCTGTTGGGTGTGCAGGAGCTGTTCTGTAAGGGTACCCGTAACATAAATGCTGAACGTCTCTTCAAGCTACATCCGTGTACTGCTGCTTAGAAAGAGGCCAGCCTGGAGCTGCTGTTAGTTTTCTAGTGAAACGCTGGGGGGAAATGTTCTACAATTTTTTTTTTTAATCATAACTTCAATCAAAATTAAAAATGAGATAATCTACTTTTATTATGAAGTATATTAATATTTTCCATGATGACCGTTCATCTCACTCTTATTAACTCTGACTCATGTGGTTTGTCCACTCAATTATTTACTAAGATTAAAGGAAGCAGTGATAAGTGAGTATTCATGAAGAAAGATACCGCATATTTTACTTTATATTTGCTTTCAAATGTAACTTTACAAATTTGGCTGAATATCTGGAGCAAGTACTGTTAGCTGAGGGGTTAAATTGCTTCTACTTTTTGCTTTTGATGATGTAACTTCTTCATACCGATACCGTATCAGTGTTTGCTGCTGTGATTCAAGTCTGCAGTGAGCTTTGCTTTTAATTTGTCAGTGGTCTTGAAACTGTGGTGAAGGATCACCGGTGATTCACACAAGTCCTTGGTAGAGCTTTTCTGCTGTAAAGCACTTGAGAATCAAACTGAGAAGAAGCAAGAAAAAAAAAAAGAGTAGAGCAGTGATCTTTAAATGGATTTTTCTAAATGGATTTGTAAGTGGATGAATGGATTTTTTTTCAGACTACTTTTATAAAGTGATCTGCAAAACAGCATTGTACGCATCAAGAAGAATCAGACACTGCTACTGTACTTTCCCAGGTTTATTTTCAATAACTAGTGTTAACTATTAGTAAGTTTCTAATACTTTAAATAAATAATACCTGAGATAATTGGGCATCACAGTAGCTCTCTGATTTGGGTTCAGCACCTTCTGTGGTGTTGCCCTGGGAAATGACACCCAAAGGTTGTATCAGGCCTCAGCGAAGGCCCTGAGCAGAGACCTCCTGGCTCCCCAGCGAGTTCATTTCAAAACAAAATGGCATCAGTGAGGGGTGGATCTGGACGCCCAGGCTGCATTTTCATCTAGTGAGGAAGGGCTGGAAGGGGAGGAGAATCGTCCTCTCTCCTGTAACTGTACAAATTGTACCTGGGGAGGAAGCAACAGAAATAGCAGAGAGTGCTACTCCGGCTGGCAGGGTGGGGATCTTCCCTCTGCCACCTCTCAGAGAGCAGCGCCTCTCCCTGCTTCCCACCCCACCACTGTCCCAGCCTCACCAGCGTATACAGCTGGGGTGCCCCTGCCACCACCCCGCTTGTATTTCAGGCATCAGCAGTGTGGCACTGCAGCTCTTTTACTGCTCCACAATCCCATGTGCCTGAGGTAGTGCAGTGGCCTTCTCCAGCGTCGGTCACAGCCGGTCAGAGGAGCCGGGGGTCCCAGGGTACCTCTGGGGCTTCAGCGCTGCAAGGTAGCCCGGAAACCCCAGTAGAAGATATCCCTTCCCATAAAGGTTTAAACTGTGGGCCCTTCCCCGTATTAAAACGTGAATAGTTTAATATCCAAGAACTGAAGACTATTTACTTTGTGAGGTCTGTTTCTTGTTTGCTGTAAGCCACGGCCCCTATCCTGCACAAGAGGGAGACTGTCTTGTAAGCGGCACAAGCGAATCGGGGATACGCTGCTCCTTCTCCTGCTTTAGTGACCTGTGGGACTTCTTCCTTGCTCCTCCCCTCTCCCTCCCTATGCAAGAACCATGTGGAGACTGAAAAACTCTCTTCGTTTGCTCTCATATTAGAACAATGTTGTTCAAGCTGTTGGTTGCCTCCAAAACCAACATGGAGAGTGGTTGTTCACCTGTGCTGCCTCTGTGTTGGTGTGCGCAAATACATATAAATGGCAGTTACCTGACATTTGGGGATGTTGGTTTTCAGTATCGATATTAAATCTGGAAAAATTTACTACTGCTGGGCCACTACGCTAAAAGCTGGAAAATGTATATTATGACTGAACGCAGTTTTCTCTGGATTTCCTTTTTAATCTTAAGAAAAACAGGTTTTAAATTCATTCAGTCTCTGCAGAATACATACACTTAAAAATAATAGAAACCTTAAGATATTCAGATGCATTTTTGTTATTGCTGTTAGTGGCAATAATACCAGTCCAGAAGACCGTGAGCCACAATGGTTGTCTCTCCCCCGCTTTTTTTATCCTGTCATTTATCTTACCCTTGTGATCTCCTACGGCTGAAGAGTAGGTGATACTATTCACTCAGCTGGCCAATTTAACTTGTCTGTTGAAGCAACACGTTAAGTGTAAAAGCCCTTAAAATTGCAGGCAGAAACACTAAGAGAAAGGG